GTGCAGTGATGACAGCGCGGTGCGGGCCACATTGCAAGGCCTGGCGGGACGGATTTGGCCCGCAGGCCTTGTGTTTGACACATGTGCTCTAACCCCTCAGCAATCTGACCAGAGCCATTTTCTTTTTTTCTACTTTATCTTTGAGATCATGTTATATTAGTAAATAAAATTTCATTCTTTTTAGTGGCTCTACTTTATAAATATATCATACTTTGTTTAACAGACTAGATGCCCGGTGCACAAATTTGTGCACCAGCAGGGTCCCTTGGCCTGGCTTGTGGGATTGGGCCAAAACTGGCTCTCTGACATCCTCAGAGGGGTCCCAGATTTTGAGAAGGCACAGGCCAGGCCTACAGACCCTACTGGTGCATGATCAGGGCCAGGAGGGACTTAGGAAGTTGACCAGGAGAGGAGGGTTCATGGGAGGCCTCACAGCACGTCTCACTCAGTCCTGATCAGCCGGACTCTAGCAGCAAGCTAACCTATCAGTAAGAGCGTCTGCCCCCTGGTGATCAGTATACATCATAGAGATTAGTTGACTGTCTGCCCCCTGATGGTCAGTGCACATCATAGTGAGTGGCTGAGCAGCCTTAGCATATCATTAGCATATTATACTTTGGTTGAATGGAAAACTGGACACTTAGCATATTAGGCTTTTATTATATAGGATACTTAAGTTGCTGCTAATCTTTTGTGACCATAAATAAAACTATGTTGAATACTTTTGCAAACCTAAAATTTTTGTGCACATTAAAAGAAACCTATTTGTGTGGGCAATAGGAAGAAATGACAATGTTGAATCATACTACTAGTATACATGCATTTAGAATCTTGTCAGAGTGTACAAAATTGCTCTCCAAAGAGGTTGTACCTATTTATACTTTTACCATACGTAATAGTTTCCTGGTAATGTCCTTAATAATAAAGTGTAACTCTGTCTTTTTTTTTTGGTACACCTGACCTAACCTGGACTCATTTGAAAAGGAATATCTGAGTTGAACTCATCTAAAACTGTTAATGGAAATATCTGTAGTTGGCATGTTGAATATAATATACTCATTACAGCCTGCTATGGTATATACATTTAATAACCTTAAAAAAATCCAAAAAAATTCTACATTCTGAAGCATCTTTGATCTCAAATTTCAGATAAAAGATACAAACTTATGCCGAAACCCGTTTGGCTCAGTGGATAGAGCGTTGGTCTGTGGACTGAAGGGTCCCAGGTTCGATTCTGGTCAAGGGCATGTACATTGGTTGCGGGTACATCCCCGGTAGGGGGTGTGCAGGAGGCAGCTGGTAGATGTTTCTCTCTCATCGACGTTTCTAGCTCTCTATCCCTCTTCCTTCCTCTCTGTGGAAAATCAATAAAATATATTTAAAAAAAAGATACAAACTTACATATATATAGTATTATCAAACTTTCTGACATTTCAGTCTATTAAATAAGACTTCCCCCTGGTGGTCAGTGTTCCCACAGGGGGAGTGCTGCTCAGCCAGAAGCCGGGTTCACCGCTGTTGAGTGCAGTGGCAGTGACAGGAGCCTCTCCTGCCTCCGCAGCAATTCTAATGATGTCTGACTTATGGCTTAGGCTTGCTCCCTTTGTAGTTTTTATTTGGATTTTTCTTTTTAAGAAAAATGTATTATTTATTTAACCATTAGATTTTTTTAAGTGTTATAATGGTATTGTGGTTTTCCTAAAAAATTAAAAATAAAAAAGGTCCCCAGAGATACATACTAAAATAGTTAATCCTTACTATTCACAGATTCTGTATTTTGCCTACTTGCTAAAATTTATTTGTAATCCCAAAGTGCTTGCAGTGCTTTCATGGTCATTTACAGACATGTCTAAAGAGCTAAAAAATCTGAGCCGCCCAAAGCGAACATTTCCAGCTAATATTGAGTAAGATGTTGCTGTTCTTCCTTCTTGCTTCTACTCTCATACTTAAACAACTGCCCTTTTTGCAGTCTATTTAATGCCACATTTTAAAATTTCTGTGCTTGCTGTTAGCAATTTCACCGTTTAAAACAGTCCCCAAGTGCTGAAGTGCTGCCCACTGTTCTAAGTGTCAAGAGGCCATGAAATGCCTTATGGAGAAAATACACATTAAATAAGCTTCCTTCAGACATGAGTTATAGTGCTGTTGGGTGTGAATTCAATGTTAATTAATCAACCATGTCTATTAAATAAGGTATCTTTAAACTGAAGCAAAGTTATGTATTGATCAACTGACAAAAATGTTGTAAATAGAAGCTCATGGGACCCTAACCCATGTATTTTTCCTTTGCAGCAAGGATTCAGTATTTGCTAATTCAAGGTTAATAAAGACTTTATAGACTATCACAAATAATACGAATTGATTATATTTACAAAAAGTGATATATTTGATTTAAATAAATCTAGGGGGGTAGTGTTTAGATGGAACAAGATTGGCCATTCTATATAATAAAAGGCTAATATGCAAATGAACCAAACTGTGGAACGACCACTCACTATGATGCACACTGACCACGGGGGCCAGATGCTCAACGCAGGAGCTTCCCCCTGGTGGTCAGTGTTCCCACAGGGGGAGTGCTGCTCAGCCAGAAGCCAGAATCACGGCTGGTGAGTGCAGTGGTGGTGACAGGAGCCTCTCCTGCCTCCGCAGCAATTCTAATGATGTCTGACTTATGGCTTAGGCTTGCTCCCTGAGCCTAAGCTGGCAGTCAAACATCCCCCGAGGGCTCCTGGACTGCAAGAGGGTGCAGGCTGAAAGACCCCTGCCCCCGAGTGCATGAATTTTGTATTTGTTGATATTTATCGAAGGTGGGTAACAGGTTTATGGTTGGGGGGGGGCTCTTCATACTGTTCTACTTTTGAATAGATTTTAAAATGCCATACATTTTTTTAAAATAAAGTCACTGGCAGAGCATTCCCTATGAACCGTCTTTGCATATCCTTCATTGTTTTCATTACATTGTATTTATTTTTCTTATTGACTTATAGAGCTCTTTACAAATATTGATGAAATAAGCAATTTATACTACTTAAAAAATTCAGTTTGTCATTTGATTTTAGTACTTTTCAAAGTAATCCCCAAATTAAAATTTATACATTGTCCAACTCATCAATCTTTTTTTTTTTTTTATAGCTTAGACATGTACCTAGGCTTAAAAAAAATCTCCTTTCTCAGATTTTAAACAATTCTCATATATTCCTCCAAGTATTTTCTTGTCCGTTTCATACATTTATATTTTGATACACCTAAAATGTATGCTGGCCTCAAGAGTGTGTAGTGTTTATAGATCAATTATATGATGTGTAGATTTGTTCCAAAACAATGTGGATGTGTGGGGCAGGGTGGGAGGGTAAGTGAAACCAAGTTGGCCATTAGTTGGTAACTGTCAAAGCTAAGTCATGTGTTTAAATTCGTTAACTTTTTCTCTATTTTTGTATGTTTAAAATTTTCTATAATCCAAAGTAAAAATAGTAATCCTGTTTTTACTCCATAGGAGTAGGAGGAGACCTCTTTATCATGGTATATTCCAGACACCTAATTCATTCACTAGATTAGGGGTGTCGAACTCAATCAGAGAAGGGGCCAAAATCTAAAATCCAGCCTAAATCGCGGGCCGAATGGTTTACTGAACAGTCATAAACTGTCATTGTGATGGAAACGCAGCGGAGTGCAGTGATGACAGCGCGGTGCGGGCCACATTGCAAGGCCTGGCGGGACAGATTTGGCCCGCGGGCCTTGTGTTTGACACATGTGCTAGATGATCAGTTTTACTTTAAATTATTTAAAAGGCTATCTCTACCATAAACAAATTTGTAGTTTTATTTCAGGCTATTTCTAGACTAGATTATCCCATTCCACTGTTATATGTATATATTACTACTAGAGGCCCTGTGCACAAAATTCGTGCACAGGGTGTGTGTCCCTCAACCAAGCCTGCACCCTCTCCAATCTGGGACATCCCTATCACAATACAGGACTGCTGGCTCCCAACTGCTCGTCTGCCTGCCTTCCTGATTGCCCCTAACCAATTCTGCCTGCCAGCCTGATCACCCCCTAACCACTCCCCTGCCAGCCTGATTGATGCCTAACTGCTCCCCTGCCAGCCTGTTTGCCCCTAACTGCCCTCCTCTGCAGGCCTGGTCACCCCTAACTATCCTCCCATGCAGGCCTGGTCCCTCCTAAAAACCCTCCCCTGCTGGCCTGATCGCCCACAACTGCCTTCCCTTGCGGACCTGGTCCCTACCAACTGCCATTCCCTGCTGGCCATCTTGTATCCACATGGGGGCAGCTATCTTTGATCACATGGGGGCAGCCATCTTGTGTGTTGGAGTGACGATCAATTTGCATATTACTCTTTTATTAGATAGGATAAAGGCCTGGTGCACAGATAGGGGCCAGCTAGTTTGCTCTGAAAGGTATCCCAGATCAGGGTGGGAGTTCCCTTGGGGTGTGGGGCAGACTGGGCGAGGGGCCTGTGGTTGTTTGCAGGCCGGCCATGCCCCCTGGCAACCCAAGCAGAGACCCTGGTATCTAGGATTTATTTATCTTCTGTGATTGAAATTTTTTAGACTTGAGTGAAGCCAAACCTCCTGCTTGCTCCCCGGCTACAGCCATTTTTGTTGGGATTTATTTATCTTCTATAATTGTAGCCTTGAGCGGAGATCAGTGCTGCAGGAAGCTTGGCTTTCTCCATCACCAGGGAAACCTAAGCCTTCTGCTCACTCCATGGCTGCAGCCATCTTGGTTAAGTTAATTTGCATACTCGCTCCTGATTGGCTGGTGGGTGTGGCTTGTGGTAGCAGAAGTACGGTCAATTTGCAAATTACTCTTTTATTAGATAGGATGTCAGTATCAAACTATTTTTTAACATTACTTTTATAATATTTTTCAATATCTGAAAGTTTTAATATTCTCTCAAGGTTAGACTTTTAACAAAATGGAATAAATCTCAGTTTATAGTGGCCCTTCTTATTCAAATGAAATAATAAAAATAAACTTACATTTATATAATTTGCATTGATATAGTCTTCATTACCCTTTAAAATGACCCGTGTAGCATCATCTGAAAAAATTTCAAAAAAAAAGATTTCAGTAAAGTCATGTTAAAAAGATTAAAGCCTAACATGCAGAAATCATAGATACTTACAAGGCGAAATATCTCTGTATCTATTTTTGGAAATATTCTGAGGTAATTTGGCACAAGACATTGTCATTCCAGGTTTTTTTCGATATAGTTGCTAAAACAAAACAAAACAAAACAAAAAGGTACGAGTTCAGCAGGCCAACAAAAGTTTCATTTTGTTTTTCTGACTTGTTCCTATGCTATAAAACAGCTTGTTTTTTTTTCTTAGAATCCCTCATCTATACAATGATGTACCTTAAGCTGATAGGATATTAAACCAGATTTGCAAAGCTAAATTCTGTACAAATTCTGATATGAATATATCATATTTTAGAGAATGGCAAAATAAATGAAAACAATTTTTCTTACTGCAAAAAGTACCAGACAGTTTGAAACAGAAAATCTGCAGAAAACATTTAGCTTTTATATACTTTGTAGATATTTAAAGTATATGAATCCAGAACTTAAAGAAGCTAGCAAAACTGACAGTTTTTTTTAGTCACAAATGTTTTAGTCATTTATCTGTAACATATCCTTCAGAGCAACAAATACTAATAATGGCTAATTATACTGCTAAAATTTAAAGGTTAAATATTACAAGGTACAAGTTATTTTCTTTTTCTTTTTTTTTAAAATATATTTTATTGATTTTTTACAGAGAGGAAGGGAGAGAGATAGAGAGTTAGAAACATCGATGAGAGAGTCATCGATCAGCTGCCTCTTGCACACCCCCTACTGGGGATATGCCCGCAACCAAGGTACATGCCCCTGACCGGAATCGAACCGAGACCCTTCAGTCCCCAAGCCGACGCTCTATCCACTGAGCCAAACCGGCTTCAGCATATTATTTTCCTTTAATTTAGGATTTTTAAGTCTACAATTGCCTACCTTCATCTGTCAACTTTCACAAAAACAATTATTTAATTACAGATTAAGTACCAGCCTGCGGACTAAACGGTCCCAGTTTGAGTCTGGTCAAGAGCACATGTCCAGGTTGCAGGCTCCAACCCCAGTAGGGGGAGTTCAGGAGGCAACCAATCAATGATTCTCTCTTATCATTGATGTTTCTATCTCTCTCTCCCTCTCCCTTCCTCTCTGAAATCAATAAAGAAGAAAAAAAGAAAGAAATCATACAATATTGCCCTGGCTGGTATATCTCAGTTGGTTGGGTGTAGTCCTATACACTGAAAGGTGGCTGGTTCAATTCCCTGTCAGGTTGCAGGCTTGATCCATCAGGGATGGATGTTTCTCTTGCCTCTTCCCAATTCTCTCTCTGAAAATCGAAATTAAAAAAATATTTAAAAAAGAAAGAAAGAAAGAAAAAACCCATACAATATTACTTACATCAAATTGTGTCAGGACTGTTCCCGTGATAAGCCCCTCAGCTAGCTGGATCATTGATTCCCGCAGGGAACGGTCATCCTGATGGGCGCCATCTAGTGGGGCCTTCTCAGGAATGTACTGGAAGTCTGGCTCAGTTTCCAGCTTTTCTTCCACTACATCGTAGACAGCTAAGACCAAAAAAAATAAAATAAAAATTTTAATAAAGACACATGAAAAACTTAATGAGTTGGGAAAAGAATTTACCAGATTTATTTATTATGTGTCAAGAAAAATAATTTATTCATAATTCATCAGATCTGTGTATGATGTCAAGGTGTAGGGCCAAACAGTGACTGTGGAGATGAAGAAATTTGCTGCACCTTTGAGGAAAAGAACGGTCTTGGCTATAATTGCTGAAAATCTCCATAATTTGAAGAGACATTAAGAAAAAAAGGAGCTGCCAAGAAGCAGCTTGGAAAAGACTTGCCCTAATTTGTGGGACCTAAGGCAAGAGTACAAATAGAAGCCTACATACTATATGTCTAGATAGGAACAGTTATAAATGAAACAGAGTTTTAAACAAAACACGTTTTATCCTCTCCTTGACATATTTACAAAACAACCAGGGAGTCTGGATTTCAAATGAGAACCTAGGCCAGAATTCATGGCCATGGCAGTTTGAGGAGAGACAGACCCTATACCCTGGCCTATAGTCCACCTCTTTCTTTTCTTGCCCTCAGATACAGTAACACTAGAGGCCCACTGCACGAAATCTGTGCGCGGGAGGGGTATATGTGTGTCCCTTAGCCCTGTCTGCACTCTCTCCAATCTGGGACAACCTTGAGGGATGTCCGACTGTCTGTTTAGGTCCAATCCTGGTGGGATCTGGCCTAAACGGGCAGTTGGACATCCCTCTCACAATCCAGGACTGCTGGCTCCCAATTGACCATCACTCCAACACACAAGATGGCCGCCTCCATGTGGACACAAGATGGCCACCACAAGATGGCCAGCAGGGGAGGGAAATTAGGCTAGCAGGGGAGGGCAGTTAGTGGTGACCAGGCCTGCAAGGGAGGGCAGTAAGGGTGAATGGGCCGGCAGAGGAAGGTAGTTTGGGGGGACTAGGCCTGAAGGGGAGAACAGTTGTGGGGGAGGGGGAAGAGACCAGGCCTGCAGGGGAGGGAAGCTGGGGGAACCAGGCCTGCAGAGGAGGGCAGTTAGGAGTAACTGGGTCAGCAGGGGAGCAGATAGGCATTGATCAGGCTGGCAGGGGAGTGATTAGGGGGTGATCAGGCTGGCAGGCAGAAGCAGTTATGGGCAATCAGGCAGGCAAGTGGTTGGGAGCCAGCTGTCCTAGATTGTGAGAGGGATCCCATATTGGAGGGTACAGGCTGGGCTGAGGGACATCCTCCGGCCATGCACAAAGTTTGTGCACTGGACTTCTAGTAAAATAAGAGAAAGACCTTTATTAAGACCTAGGTGGATTCCTCTCCTAATTTAAAGTATAAATGAGATGATTTGAACTGCAAAAAACTAAGACTTTTCTATTATATGGATCTGTACTCATCATAAATTTGTGAGCAGAACTGAATGTCTAGGTGTCAAAATGTCCTCAACTATAAAATGGGGATGGTAGGTATGTCACTGGATAGCTGTAAAGATTAAATAAGAATATACAAGAGTCTAGATGCAAGGAAAACATTTAAACATCTGTTATCAAGAAAAAACATCTTTAACATCTGGTATCAAGAGAAAACAACACTAAACTAGAGAGGATGTTATGTTAATATAAAATTTAAGTTGCTTACTTGACAGAAAGTGCCTAATAATGAATCACCTAAATATCAAATCTAAATTAATGAGTTCCTTAAAAGTTAAAATAGAATGTTGTGTTGGAATCCTGCGAATTTTCCTAGAATGCAAATTCCAGATAATGAAAGCAGAAAAACACCAAGTAGAAAAGATGAAATGAAAATGCTTATTTGTACCCAATAAGCAAAATGAGTTTTGTATTTTTTTCTTGTAATTTTTATAGGGTTCAGTGTGGTGTTGGAATAGATAGAGTTCCAATTACATTTTACTTGAATATATGCCATCCTACCTAATAAAAGAGAAACATGCAAATTGATCGCACCTTCGCTACACCCACCAGCCAATCAGGGTGAGTATGCAAAATAACCCAATCAAGATGGCAGTTAATTTGCATATCCAGGCCAGAGTGAAGACTGAAGACAGTGAAGACTGAAGAAGCCAAGCACTGCTTAAGGGAGCGAGCAAGCCAGGCAGTAGAGAAGGGAAGCAGGCAAGGCGGGCAGATGGGAGGAAAGCAGGTGGGGAGGGAAGAAAGGGAGCAAAATAGGTGGGGCAGCAACTGCAGCAGAAAGTCCTATTGTAGGAATCTTCCTGCAATGGGCCACTAGTAGGTATCAATATATAGCATTAACTAATAAGTACTCTTATTGCTAAAACTATGATTAATAGTAAACTGTTCAGAACAAAACCAGAAGAGTATGTCTAATGCTGGGATACAGGCATATACAAATTTTTTCCAGAGGAAATTGATACAGTATGAAGAGAACTTGAAACAATGCCATATGAACACTCACTGAAGGATCTGAGATTACTGAACTGGAGGAAAGGGGGAGGGTTTCTGGTAAAATCAGCTATTGTCAATAAAACGGAAGGAACAGGGATTAAATTTATTCTGGATAACAGGACTGAAGAAAGTTTGATTTTAGTTCAAATTAATAGTTCAAGCTATCCAAATGGGGGGTGAACTGCTTCATGAGCTACTGAGTGCTCCATACCACCAGGACATTCTTGAGATCACTACTGAGGAACTTAAGCAGTCGGTAAAGGAGCCAGAGCTTACAGCATGAGGGCTTCTCCAAGCCTGGGACTCTGACTCTGAATTAATACGTTAGCTGTCCAGAGCAGGAGATGACATGATTAGGTTACAGGCATTCTCTACTGAAAACATATGACAGGATTTAAAAAAAAAATGATTTAACTGCAGCTTGTTACAGAGTTTCCTAAAAGTGGAACAGAGTTCAAAATTTACTAATTAATTCAACTATTATTTATTGATTATCTATTACTACTACTAGAGCAAGCAGGGGAAAGAGGCCATTTTAGCTACGGTAGTAGGGAGAGAAGGACTTTCTGAGGATGACATGTGACTTAAAACCTGAAGGGAGTGAGAGAATAAGTCATATAAAATCAGGAAAATCATACAAAATGTAGGCGGAAGGAATAACAAGAAAGCCAGCATAGGACAGAATGAACAAGGCTGAGTGGTAGGCAAGGAGGACAAGAACTTACGTTTTACTCCAAGTGTGAATGGAAGCCACTATACTTTGAGCAGGAAACTGACATGCAAGACAGATTTAGGTTTAAAAGCCTACTCTGGCTGCTATTCCAGTAAGAAACACTAATAATTACGAAAAATATCCAGTGCTATGTAGACTACTTACCATTAGGCCGGACTAGAAGTACGAGTTCCCCAGAATGTCTCTCACAGCTAGCTTTAATAAACAGGACAACCTGGTCGTGGGTATGTTCTGCAATGTCCCGACCATTGATCAGTACAACTTGGTCCCCTTCATTCAATCGAGGGACACAGAGGTCAGCCTGCAACATAATGCAAATAAGGTTTCAGATCTGAACATGGCTTTCTAAAAGTAAAGCACAAAAATTTATTTTTATAGACTCTAAAGTAGAATTAAAGCTACATATTGAAAAAGTCTATCCATTCATCTACTCAAAAATGAAACCGAAATCTAGTTTTCCCATGCAGATACTCTATTTCTTTCTTTTTTCATTCAACAACTTTTCCCCTTATTACATGCATAGCCATAGAGATAAGACCAGTTATTTGGAGATGCCTAGACACTGTCAGGCCTCACTTTGCACTACCCAGATATGTACAAATTTCAGTTCCCACTGTGAATGTATTAATTGTGAATAATTACATAAAATACAATCTTTGCTGCTAGATTGTAGCCCAAAACTCTCTACATAAATAATAGACACATCATGACCAATACTCAAACACATCACTTCCTTCAATGTCTGCTGGTGATCTGTCGCTGGGCACCTGTTACTCAGTTCCTGCAGACAGCGAAGTGTATTCTAGTAGTTGTGCTGCCTCATCTCCCAACAATAAAACCACATAAAAATGGGTAAGAAACAGCTGATGGTGAAAGTATACACTGCTACTGTTTAAGACAGTGGTCACCAACCTTTTGGACCTCATGGACCACCAGTGGCCTGTGGACTACCGGTTGGCGACTGCTGGTTTAAGAGACTCTAAGTATACAGAGAAGAGGATTTAATGAAGGGGAACTTATCAACATTAATGATGAAAGTGGGTATAATAAAAAAGGAGTAAGTTTTTCTTGAGGACATGATGCTGGCATAAAACTTCTCATTAAAGGAAATCTTGGAGATATTTACAACATTAAAAATGCAGAGGACTGCCTGGCTGGTGTGGCTCAGTAGTTGAGTGCTGACCTAGGAACCAAAAGGTTAAAGTTCAATTTCAGGCCAGGGTACATGCCCAGGCTGTGTGCTGGATCCCGAGTGGGGGGCGTGAGGAGGCAGCCAATCAATGATATTCTCTCATCACTGATGTTTCTATCTCTCTCTTCCTCTCTTTCTCCTTTCCTCTCTGAAATCAATAAAAGTTTACTTAAAAAAAAAATGCAGAGGACCAAAAATTGAAAGTAAAGTCAAACTTAAAAAGAATTATGACAATTTGCTAAGTCAAGAAAGAATGCTCACTCTCTCTCTATATATTTTTAAATATATTTTATTGATTTTGTACAGAGAGGAAGGGAGAGAGAGAGAGAGTTAGAAACATTGATGAGAGAGAGTCATCGATCAGTTGCCTCTTGCACACCCCCTACTGGGGATACGCCCGCAACCAAAGTACATGCCCTTGACCGGAATTGAACCGGGGACCCTTCAGTCCCCAAGCCGACGCTCTATCCATTGAGCCAAACGGGTTTCGGCTCACTCTATATTTTAATTTATATGACGAGAAGGACACAAGCCTATTCAAACCACTTGTGATAAGTTTTCATTAAGAAATTAAATACTTAAGTTCTCAATGCTTCTAATGTTTAGAATGACAGGGCAGTCAATCAGTAGTTTTACTTTTTTTTTTTTTTTAAAGCACTGATTTCACAGATTTTATTTATTTATCCTCGTCTAAGGATATACACTGATTTTAGAAAGGAGGAAGGAAATGGGAGAGAGAGAAAGAGAGACAGAGAGACATCAATTAGCTGCCTCCCATTCGTTCCTCAACTGGGACTGAACCAGCAACCTAGGTATGTGTCCTGACGGAAATTAAACCTGTAATCTTTTGGTGTACGGGATGATGCCCCAACCATCTGAGCCATCTGGCCAGGGCTAGTTTTACTATTTCTCATTTCTCCATCATTTCTAAGGGAAAGTAAGAGACATTTTAATGAAAAATTTAAAGGTCTTAGAAACAACCATAATTTCCCCCATTAATTATCAAGGTCACTTTACATAGTTTCAGCTTGAATGGTCATTTTTATGGTCATGTTCTACTGTACAAAGTGATGACTGCCTGTATTTTATTGAGAAAAATAAATGAGTAATTCAAATAAAAGAGATAAACAGAAATATGGACAGCACATTCCAGGGACAGCAATAAGAAGGCATAGGAATAAAGAATGAAGGACAATAGGTCAGATACAGAAGGAAATGATGGGGTTGGACCTCACACAAAAAAAGAAACTTCCTGTTGCAAAAGCTTGAAGACTTGAAAACATGACTATTCAAATTCACTATAAACACAAAGTCAATAAAATCCAACATGATATATCATGTCCTCTACTGCTTATACAATAAAATGTGTGCTCTGAGACACCCGAAACTCTGAAAATGGAGCAGATTAGCTGCTCTGATTATAATAACAAAGAGCTGTGAAGATAAAAATGATATAAGTATACAAATGTTAAAACCTGGAGAACTCAAATTTAAGGTTATGACCTCTCTAGTTGCTTTTTTCTCTCCTTCTTGTAGTGAAGCAGATGATAGTCATATACACCTTCTGTGTATTAGTAGTGTGATACCTTTATGTATCAATTTGGTCCAAGTTGTTGTAAATGTCTTCAAGGTACCCAAAGAGTGGTGAACTGGAAGATATTAATGGTACTGGGAGAAAAGGGTTATAGTGAAAAAAGTTATACTCTCACCTTACTTTGTGAATAGTATAGTTAATGAAAAGAGGAGGTAGTTTATGTGCTAAGGAGAAGATAGTTATTAATCTCTAACTGTACCTTCATATAACCACTGATATTCCAAAGGATTGAGACTAAAAGGGCAGTATTAACCAAAATGCTATATCTAAGAGGCAGATTTTTTTTTTCTCACTACCACTGAAGAGAAAGAACTCTCTCATGCATAATCTGCTTTTGTCAGTTATGTTTATAATTTTTTTATTGCATTTCATTCTAATCTGGAAAGTCTAGATGAACTGTATATTAAAATAAATTTTTGTTGCAGAAATAGTTATTGGCTCAAAGATGATCACATTGGAACAAAAATTTGACTTTAATTGGGAATTCTTTTATCCATTTCAGAAGGATTACAATTAATAAAACATGAAAATATTTAAAACTCTTTCCCCCCAATCACTTAAAATGAGGTTTCCAATGGGAAGATTGTGATGGTCTCCAAATTAGTAAAATAATATAAAAATGATAAATTTCTATTGTTTTAATTTTTCCTAAATTCAGTTAATATATATGGAACACAGTTCTATGTGGCAAAAAATAAAATTTTACCAATAATCCGTATAGCCTAAAAAAAAACTTAAGAGTCACAGAATTCTGTTTGGAAGTGAACCTATCTATAGAATGTTCCCTGAACATCCTTGACTTAATTAATAACTATCCACATTCACTGCTCAGAAAAATCAATTATTTCTTTTGTGTTATTCACTGATCATTACAACTGGCATAATAAAAAAGGTGTATTGCAATTTCTAATTATAAAAGCAATGCATGCTCACTGACATGATCTATTAAAAAAGGAATATAGAAGAAAGTGATTAATACCAGTAATCCCACTACTTGGATGAAACACTGTTAAGCTTTTAAGCATGTATCCAGACTTTTTAATACACATAATTCACATTTTAAAAAACTGGATCAAACATAAACGTAGAATTGTAATACTATTTTTTTGTAATATCTTATGAACATATATGCATACTAGTATAGAGCTACATCATTCTTTTAAATAGTTACATAGCAACACATAATGTATTTCACCAGCTCTAATGATGTGTATTTTATTTATCCCTGATTTTTGACTGTTATAAACAATACTACAGTGAACATCCTTGTATATAGTTTGTTCCCTAGCACAACTGTTTCATTAGAGGCCACTCACTGTCAGGTCAAAAGATATATGTTTAAGTTGCAATTAAAATTTTTGTTTTTAGGAAAGTTATACATTACATAGTTTAAAAAGTTGACTAGAGCTGAAAGATTAAGAAACCATTTCTCATGTTCTTCCCTCCCATTCCCCCCTCTCTAGAGTCACTTTCTTTCAACATCTTACCTACAACTTTTGTGTTTATCTCAGTAACTCCACATATCTCCCCCATTTTGTTTTTCTTTAGTTTTCTATGTTAGACATTTTACTACTTGATCAGAATTTAGCAGCCTCTTATCTCTTCATCTGCAGTCTGAAACATATACAGTTATCATTAAATAAATAATTTTGGACTATTTTCCCATCTTTGTTCCTATCCTTCATATGCATAGCCGATTCAAGAGTAATTTTGTACACTGTATCCCTGTCCTGTCCCCTCTGACCTCAAGATTGGTTTAAAAGAGGACATCTGACTCAAACTAGATCTGACTGGTTTATTTCCCAGGAGCCAATAATTTGTATAGGCTTAATCATTTTGGGTTGCTGAGCTGGTAATATGTAAATATGGAAGTAACTAGTAGTCATATCATACCATGTGGACTGAGACAAAATAGCAGTAGCTATACAATTTTAATTTAGCAGAGATTTAGGAGTCATAATTATATCTGAAGGCAGAGTATGTCTGGTGGTGGTGATATTACAGGACTTGACCTGAAATTGTCACTAAATACACTATTTTTATTCAGACTAATATATTTGAAGTGGCTTGAGAGATGTCACAGATTCAGTGTACAAAAATGGTTTGAACAGAGAAGAATGGGACATTCACACAAGAAATATAGATAAAAAGTAGAGAGTGACAGATGAGTTCTTTCTGGTGGTGTGACTGTGTTCCTGTGCTTGGTTTTATGAGATACTTATGAGCTCTATGTAATTTTTTTTTGTTCTTGATGAAGCAATAAAAACAATTAACTTAATCCAAATCCTTGAATATGCTCCTTTTAATATATGACAAAATAAAAACTGCACATAAACTACTTTTGCACCAAACTGAAGTATGATAGAGTCTAAGGAGAAGCTGTAGTTATGTTGGCAGGGATATTCCATAAGTAAATGCCCTATTATTTGCAACCAACAAAGTCCTTCAAAATCAAAACCATATATTATGATATCCTTAATTAATCCTGACTATGATCTTCAAACTAATTTTGAGGTAGCTGCAAAGAAAGCACCAAAAAATGCATAACTGACCTCTTTCTCTCAAGCTAATGATTTATACACCTTTCTTAGGGGCAGGGAGATAGTTAAACGATAAAGGGTGCTGACTGAAAAGTCCTTGAAGACCATTAGGTAAAGTAGGCAATAACATAAATGTAAATTTGAAAGCCATATTTGCTGCATGGAAGAGCAATAAAGATAATACAGCCATATTAATTAAGAGCTGTCCTTATGATGAGCATGAAGTTCATGAATGCTGAGCTAAATAATGGGAACAGGGGAAATGATCATAATGGGTTCCTAAAATATTTTCTCTCTTTTTGTTTAGAATGTTCATAACAAAAAGTTTAAAAATTATCCTTATAAGAAAAAAAACAATCGCTAGTACTATTTATATTTAAACTAAGTTTATTTTTAAACATAAGAAGGCAAATAGCATATAAGTAAACAATACTAAATGAAAAAAACAAGCAAAAAAAAAACACCACGAATAAAAAATATAACTCCTGTCTACATTTAAAAAAAATACATATTTTTATTGATTTCAGAAAGGAAGGGAAAAGAATAGATATAGAAACATCAATGATTAGAGAGAATCAGTGATCGGCTGTCTCCTGCACGCCCCCTACTGGGGATCAAGCCTGCAGCCCAAGCATATGTCTGACTAGGTATCAAACTGTGACCTCTTGGTTTATAGGTAGACAGCCCCACCTCTGAGCCACACCGGCTGGCTCCTATCTACATTTTGCTGCTTAAGGAGTTATTCTGATAGGATCTATTTACACTTTAGAAGCATTGAAAGTCATACACCAGCTTCTTTTTAAAATAAGGATTTTAAAAACTCTTATAAACAAGGCATAAATAAAAACAAACTTTACAGCAATTTAAGATATCCAATCAACAACAGTAGATACTTGACAAATTAAAAGAATGATTATTTCCTTTTTAACTAATTAAATTAAGTACATATTCTTGAAAACAAGATTTACTTGGGAGATTTAGATAACTCACAGGTGTTCCTGGTGCTACTCGGGACACAATCACAGGCATCTTCTGATCATATCCTCCCTTAAAACAGAGCAAATCAAATATTAGCAAAATAAAAACATCTTAATTTAAAAACTGAGTACAATATAAATTTTAGATTACCTTTACATTGAAACCAAATCTTCCATTTTCATCAGGTTTCATTCTGATTAGAACCAGATTATCTTGTGGAATACCACCATTAGGCTAAAAAGATAAATATAAATAACTTGTAATTTTCTTCACTTATAACCTATCCATTACATACACATAGAGTATGCTTTTTTTGTATGTTGACATTATCTATAGTACATAAAGAATCAAAATTAAAATTAAAATGTTAATTCAGAAATTTACATTTTGAATAACAGGACTTAGGGAATGGCGTGATACCCCAAATAGATCTATTTTATCATGTTTTTGTGCCACTACATGCTAAACTATAAGTGCCAAGAGAGACAGGAGCTTTATCAATTATTGTTTTTAAATTAATTCTTAGAGAGAGAGGAAGGGGGAGAAAGAGAGAAACATCAATCTGTTTTACCTCTTATTTATGCATTTATTGGTTGATTTTGTATGTGTCCTGACTGGGGATTGAACCTGCAACCCTGGTGTATCAGGACGATACTTTAACCCACTCAGCTACCTGGCCAGGGCTTATCAATTAATTTTAAGAATCGCAATATCTCTATAACCTGGCTTAAAGCTTTACATGCAGCAAGTGCTCATAGTGTTACATGAATTCATGTTACTCTCTCTACTTTTAAAAAGTAGTCTTACTGAGATATAATTCACCAATCAATGTGTATAATTCAATAATTGTTATTGTAGTTACAGAGTTGTACAAACATCACTACAATTTAATTTTAGAACATTTTCATCACCTCCAAAAGAAATCCTGTATTCATTAGCAGTCATTTTCCAACCCCTCATCCCATTCCCTAAGTCCTATTCAACTACAAATCTATTTTCTGTCTCTATAGATGTGATTATTCTGGACATTTCACTTATATAAAATTATATAATACTAGAGGCCCCGTGCACGAAATTTGTGCACAAGTGGGGGGTGGTGGTGTGGGGAGGGATGTGTGTCTCTCAGCTAAGCCTTCATCCTCTCTAATCTGGAACATCTCTCTCACAATCCAGGACTGCTGGCTCCCAACTGCTCATCTGTCTGCCTGCCTGATTGCTCCTAACTGCTTCTGCCTGCCAGCTTCATCACCCTTAACCATTCCCCTGCCAGCCTGATTGATGCCTAACTGCTCCCCTGTCGGGCTGATTACCCCTAACTACCCTCCCCTGCCGGCCTGGTCACCCCTAACTGTCCTCCCCTGCAGGCCTGGTCGCCCCCAACTGCCTTCCTCTGCCAGCCTAGTCACTCCTAACTGCCCTCCTCTGCAGGCCTGACTGACCCCAACTGCTCTCCCTTGCAGGCCTGGTCCCTCCCAACTGCTCTCCCTTGCTGGCCATCTTTGACCACATGGCCATCTTGCGTGTTGGATATTACCTCTTTATTATATATAGGATATGGCTGGTTATTTGTTATTGGCTTACTTACCATGTTTTATACCTGTTCTTGAGGGTAAATATCTGGCTAATTCTTACTTATTCCTTCAAGACACAGTTCAGAGATGATCACTTCTGGGAAGTCTTTCCTTAACCCCACAGCTTCATTAGTTATTTTTATATACTTGTAAATTCTCTATAACCACTTCTAACTATAGAACTTATACTGCCTTCAAATTGTCTTCCTATTTGTTGCTCTAGATACCATCCTCTCTTCCATACTCAACAATATTGCTATAGCAATTCTCTACCCTCCTGCTTATCCATTTCCTTCATCCTCCGGGAAATACTCTTATTTCTCCCATTAAAGCAACAACTCCTCTTCTCCGACTCCACTTCCCCATCTAGCTACTGCCTTTACTTTCCTTCCTCTTACTGCTAAACTTTTGTTTTGTTGTTGTTGATTTCCTCCCACCTTTCCATCCTCCCCCACCTTCCCTCTGGGATTCCGCACTCTGTTCCATGCCTCCATGTCTCTGTGTCCTTTCCATTCATCAGTTTGTTACTTAAATTCCACATATGAATGTGATCATGTGATACTTTCTCTAAATTTCTTGAGTGTTTCCATCTGCTGTCCCTCTCACTCCATCCTAGAGTCGGATTTTCACCTCTAGAATTTCACCAAAACTGTTCCAATTACGGTCACCAGAGGTTTTCACATTGTTCCAGTGTTCAATTCTCAGCCCTCATCTTACTTGACTTACTGTAGTATTTGACGAAGTTGATTATTATCTCTGTGACTTTCTTCTCACCAGTTGACTCCATTTCTACCTGTGTCTCCTCAGTCTCAGATGCTATTTTATTTTATTTTTTAAATCTCCCTTCGGTTTATAATTTAGAGGGCCAAAGCTCAATTTCTAGAATATCTTATTTAGAAATCTATACACAACACACCTCCTTGGTGACTTCTTCCTACCTCATGGTTTAACATATTGTCTATATACCATCAGTTTTCAATGTCACAACTCCAGCTTGAACCTCTCCCTTCAACTTCAGAATCCCATCTCCAAATGGATTTCTAATAGACATCTCAAATTTAGCATGTCCAAAATTAAGCTCCTGATATTCCACCCATACCTACTCTACCCGTAGTCTTTAGATCTTAGTAAATGGAAACTTCACCTTTCTAGTTGTTCAGGGCAAAAACCTTGCTTCTATCCTTGATCTCTCTCTAATACACCAATCTAACCCATCAGCATATTATGTTAGTTTTACTCTTTAAATATATCCAGAATATAGTCATGTCTTACTCCTTCTATGGCTACCATGCTGGTCCAAATCACCATTGCTTGCTTGAAATACTTCAATATATTATAACAAACTATCTCTACTACCGTGCTCTCAGGCTATTTTTAATAGAACAGCTAGAATGAAACTGTTAAAACTTGTGACATTATGCTATTTCTCTCTTCAGATCTGTATGTGCATTTGCTTCCTACCTCACTCAGGGTTTAAAACAAAGTCTTTATTTTATAAGACAAGGCTTTCAGGATCTGACCCAGTTCTGGACCCATCGTCTCCTCATTTGCTGATTTTGCACTAGCCACACTGACTTCCTTGATGCTCCTTGATTGTATCAGTCATACCCCTGCCTTTGTACCTACCATTGCCTCAGCTTATCTACATGGCTTATCACTAAGTTCATTCCTGGCTATATTATCTAAAATTCTTGAAATTTCCTAGGCCTTCTGGCTTTATGTTTCTCCCTAGCATTTATAATATCTAATATGCTATATACTTAAATTATGTGCCTTGTTTACTATTTGTCTCGCCTTTATCCCCAGAATGTAAGTTCCTTGAAGGCAAGGTGTTTTTTTGTTTTGTTTTTCCATAAAACCCTCAAAGCCCACAACAATGCATGGCATACAGCAGATACTCAATAAAGACATGAATGAAAAATCAAACTACACCATAGATTATTTAACAGCAGGGGCAATGTCTTACTTATCTCTGTATTCCTACTACCTACCAAAGTACCTTAGCACACAGAACGATCTCAACAACTATGAACCAATGAATGAATGATACAAAAGAATCACCACAGAGGTAACACTAAAGTTGCCATGATGGGTAAGGATTCTTCTCTCTTTTTGACGTGTCTATGGTGGTGGAACAACAAGTGTGGGAGAATAGAGTGAGTGCCTCTTGCCTTTCAACTTGACATAACATGGGAGGGCCATAGGTGGAAAAATGAGAGGGCAATGTGTGCAATGGCTTCCAGAAATTTCTGGCAGTGCCAAACTTGCTGTGGACCCTCTTCTCCCTGCATCTTATTTTATTTTATTTCCTGAAGTACCTATTAAGTTTCCTGAAATATATCCATATTTTGTCTGTCCTTACCCTTCTTCATGAACACTATGTATCCTTAAAATTTATTGATAATCTCACTTTTGGTTTATTTACATCTATCTAAAAAAGCAATAAAAATTCATAAATCAGGGGATTTTAACAATTTACCATTTGTTGTGTTAAAAGCATGTTCTATAAGGCAAAAGTAGCAACATAATTCATAAATATAGTCAAAAGGTTGATGAAAATGATAGTCTATGCACTCAGTGAATTATAATCAAGTTAACGGTATTTAATGGACTATTAGCATTGGTTCTAGAAATGTGTTTTACAATACTAAAATCAACATATATTTATTAAGAATTAACATCCAGAGCAATGAGCATTTATATAAATGATGATAAAAGGAAATTCCAGATAGGTTATATCATGTCATCATTTATGAGAAAACATGATCTTATATAATAAAGAAGTAATATGCAAATTGACCCTCACAAGATAGCTGCCTATGATCAGGCCGGCAGGGGGGTTAGTGAGGGACGAACAAAGGACTGAACAGCAGGCTGCATGGGGAGACTAGGCCAGTGGGGGTGGTGGGGGGGGGGGAGGGAGCAGTTGAAAGCAAACAGGCTGGCAGCAGGGGCAGTAAGAGGCAACCAAGCCAGCAGGGGGTGGGGAGGCAGATAGGGGCGACCAGGCCAGCAGGTGGGGCAGTTAGGGGCAATTGGGCTAGCACACAGAAGCAGTGAGGGGGAGAGAAGAGGGGAGAGGCAGTTAGGGGCAACCAGGGAGGTTAGGTGAGCAATTAGAAGCCAGTGGCCCAGGATTGTGAGAGGGATATCCAAATGCCAGTTTAGGGGATTGGGCCTAAACTGGCAGTTGGACATCCCCTGAGGGGTCCCGGAATTGAGAGGGTGCAGGCTGGGCTGAGGGGACCTCTACTTCCTCCATGCACAAATTTTGTGTACCAGGCCTCTAATGAAAAGAGAAAATACTACAAAACATGCCACTATACAAAAATAACTTCATTTATGATTTAAAAATTTCAAAGAAATCTGAGATTTGAAACTACTTACAGTAGATTTTTCAGGGGAAGATGGAACATCAAATGCCTCGTTAATATGGTTTTCCAAATCTTGTTCAGAATGTGAATAATAAATTTGGTTCCAGCTGTTTTTCTTTGATTGTTTGGGTGGTAAAGCTGGAGGCTGCCCATCCCCGGGGGTCTCTTGTGATCTAGATAGGAAAAAGGAAAAGAACAAGTATTTTGGAAGTTGTCTCACATACTTGTTATTTTAAAAGCTAGAGTCAAGCAACTCAGATATTTACAATGTCTAGTAAGAGACAAGCTTTAAATACCATATTGATTTGCAAATGCCACTGTTTAATGAAATATTTTTACATTTGAAGTTTTAAATAGCACATATAATTTTCTACTTTATCAAATCTGTAATCAATACTACATATAAAAAAAATCTATGTCAAGGGTATCTGTGTGAAGATATTTATAGTAATCTATTATAACAGGGTACATACCTTTCCAAAAACGTTTTTTAAAAAGTTTTAAGTGCAGTCATACAAATAGCCAGGAAACAAGGCAGGCAAAGAGAAATCAGAACTGAGAGTTGAGCCATTCCACAGGTAAAACAACTGGTAGTCTATAGAAGTTAAGTGGCCCAATTTATTTAAAAATAAAACATGATTAATGAAAGTAATGAACTCAATGCTGCAATAAGGATTAGAATCTGATTAAAAATGCTGAGAACACCAAAAAGACAAAACTGTATGAGACCTTGTTAGAGTATATAACTTAAGGGGGAAGATGTGAAAATCTAATTAACATTAGAGAACATAAGCCACAGTCGTAACAGAAGGTATTGATTTTTTAAAAAAAGCAAAAAAAAAAAAAAAAAAAGCTAGGTATAATAGGGGAAGTTTCAAGGTAAAAATTGTACTTTTGAGAACAGAGACTAGACTGACAGTTACTAGAGATGAGAGGGGATAGGATACTAGGTGAAAAAGGTGAAGGGAATAAAAAGTAAAAATTGGTAGTTGCAAAATAATCAAAGTACAGCATAGGTAATATAGTCAATACGATAATCCTATATAATAAAGAATTATATGCAAATTGACCATCACTCATGGCCACCTCCATGGGGTCAAAGATGGCCACCCCCGTGTGGACACAAGATGGCTGCCACAAGATGGTCAGGAGGGGAGGACAGTTGTGTGCAATCAGGCCAGCAAGGGAGGGCAGTTGGGGGCAGCCAGGCCTGCAGGACAGGGCAATTAGGGGCAACTGGGCTGGCAGAGGGCAGCTGGGGCAAACAGGCTTGCAGGGGAGGACAGTTGGGGGGGACATAAGCCTGCAGGGGATGACAGTTGGGGGGGGACACAAGCCTGCAGGAGAGGGCAGGTGAGAGGGACAAGACCTGCAGGGGAGGGCAGTTGGGGTCAGCCAGGCCTGCAGGGGAGGGCAGTTGGGGGTGACTGCGCTGGCAGAGGAGGGTAGTTTGGGGCAACCAGGCCTGCAGGGGAGGACAGTTGGGGGAGAGGAGCCAGGCCTACAGGGGAAGGCAGTTGGGCAACCAGAGCAGCAGGGTAGGACAGTTAAGGGTGACCAGGCCAGAAGGGGAAGGCAGTTGGGGGAACCAGGCCTGCAGGGGAGGGTAGCTGGAGTGACCAGGTCTGCAAGGGCGGGCAGATGGGAGGGACCAGGCCTATAGGGGAAGACAATTAGTGGCGAGCAGGCTGGCCAGGGAACAGTTTGGCACTGATCAGGTTAGGGGGATGATCAGGCTAGCAGGCAGAAGTGGTTAGGGGCAATCAGGCAGGCAGGCGAGTGGTTGGGAGCCAGCAGTCCTGGATTGTGAGAGGGATGTCCCAGATAGAAGAGGGTGCAGGCTGGACTGAGGGATACACACACCCCTTCCTCCCTGTGCACAAATTTCACGCACAGGGCCTCTAATATTGTAATAACCATATATTGTGCCAGGTGGGTACTGAAAATATTGGGGGAAACATTTTGCAAAATACACTGAGTGGCCAGATTATTATGATCTCTGAACATAATATAATAAAAGGCTAATATACAAATTGTCCCCTCGACCAGGAGTTCAACCAACAGGCAGGCTGGCCAAATGCCCATGTCCACCCCCCTGGTCAGACCCTACCCATTGACGAATTCATGCACCGGGCCTCTAATATGCATGTGTGCACGTGCGCGCGCGTGCGCGCGCGCCACACACACTGAGTGGCCATATTATTATGCATTCAGAGATCATAATAATCTGGCCACTCAGTATACATGATTTGTCTAACTACAATGCTGCATAACTGAAACTCAAATAATATTAATGTTAACTGTAATTGAGATAAAAAATAATAAAAGTTCAAGCACAGCATGTTAACATTACTTGTGAATTTCTCACAAAGACCAAAAGGGGGAGCCAGTGGTTAAACTTGTATGCTAGAAGGCATGCATCCAGGAAGCTGAGGAGTTGAGTGCAGGCAAGGGAAAAATGGTCCTTGATAAGAGCACTGACCATCTTTGGGCTTATATTTATCTCTGAGATGGCAGGAGGTCCTTGGAGGGAAATAAAAGAATTACTGTCTACTGCTTACGGACAGATAAGAAGTTAATAGCCGCTGTGATACTCAGGCACAGATTTTACTCAGTTTCTGTTTATTTTTATTGATTAACAACATAGGCCTAAGATACAAGTTATAAGGCAGTGAGGAAGTATTCAATTATATGCTGTTCAAAAATCATTCTCCACCCTTCCCATTTGACATTAAGCTTGGCTATATGACTTGCTCTGGCCATAATAATATGAATAGAAGTGGTATGCTTCTCCTTTTGAAAAGGAGCTTTAAGAAACAGCTCTGGACTCAATATGCTTCTCTTTTTCCTCAGCCATGATCAGCCACATCCCAAACACGGGCTGGTGTCAGTCTGAGTCTTGGAATAAAAAAGACATGGGTCGAGGCAGTCGATCCACGATGTACATGTGTTATAAAAAAAAAAAATAATCTGTGTTGCAAGTCACTGTAAGTAGGGTAATTTGCATACTTTAGCTCAAGATAACTAATACACAGGTTACCACCGCAGTGGCCCTCCCTTGCTAGAGAATACATATGCTCTTCCTTGGTAGAGAAGCTGTGAACTTAGATGCTTGCTGCTAAATACCTGGTGACTATTAGTAGGGAACTAAAAATCTGATTAGTGCCAAGGAAGTCAGAGGGATTAATAATGAATAATCTATGTGTAACTCTATGTTCTCCAGGGAGGGTTTCTTAATGAGAATTATAGTCCTTCTGAAATTGTATAAGCCACTATAAAATATAATAATTAAATAAGTAGGTAAACAAGAATGTCCACTCAGTCTAACTTTCTACAAAGAAGGCTGCAGAGCATAAAATGGTCTCAATTCTGATAAACCTGTAATACTGCATCAGAGAATATACCTCTCCTTTGTAGCAAAAACTTCTTAGAGGTCTATCTTGATGTCCAGGGATCCAGATACCAAACATACGAGTTTTTATTCCATTAGTTTCAATTGCTAAGAAACCACACCTCTAAGATTCAATACAATCTAATGCTGTGGGTCAAAAAAAATATTCCCACAGATTAGAATACAGACATGGATGCTGTGCTAAAAGAGATTAAGAAAGATGAAGATGGACATCCCTTGCAGAGCCTCACAGATGTGATATTTTTAAAAAGAAGTTGATTAAAAGCCTCCAAGTCTTTACAAAACCCTGAAGTCTCTGAATTCTACATATTTCGATCGATAGGTCTCATTCCTTACTTAGGCAAAGTGAAGAGAAACTTTTCCTAATTTTGTATTCAGCTGTCATACTCAGGAAGCATTTAGCTTCAAACTAAAAATCTATAGGGAATGCCGAAACTGGTTTAGCTCAGTGGATAGAGAGTCGATCTGAGGATGGAAGGGTCCCAGGTTCGATTCCGGTCAATGGCAGGTACATTGGTTGCAGGCACATCTCATCGATGTTTCTAGCTCTTTATCCCTCTCCCTTCCTCTCTGTAAAAAATCAATAAAATATATATATTTTTAAAATCTATAGGGAAGAGTGTAAGAGCTGAGATCAGATAGGAATGGAGTTAGAGTGACTTTCTTTATTCTTGGTCCACTAATAGGCTACATATAGTGCCAAATAATAGTACAGGGACAAAATGATGCCCAGTCTGTAGTGTAACAGCTCAGTGAACCAAACCCGATGGGTCTGGGCATAACAATGGCGATGCTCAGTTACAAAAGAGGGACAGCACTGGCATTACAGGACATTTTGCTAACACCATTGAATCTGCATTTTTGAGGTAAGATAAGGCACATATGGTAAAAAGGCTTGAGAAATGATTTTTATTATGTACTTCTGAATAGAAATCACTGTCCTAGGATAGTGGTTGCAAATTTGGAGATTGTGAAACTATTTTGGCCAACACACATTTGGCCCATTAATTGTTTTTATAAAATGTGAGTTAATTGACATTAAAAATTACATGGCAAATATGGATTTCCAGAAGGAAAAGTTTGGAAGTTCTGGAAAGAATGGACCTAAATTGTAAGTTGTCAACCACTGGACAAAGCCAAGGGGTAGCTGCTGCCTTTCAATGGGTCATGGGTATTTAGGTTCACATAAATCCCACCCTGTGTTACTTGTCAGACTCCAGGGGGTGTTTGAGTCTAACTCTCCTTTAAACATTCCTAGCTACAGGAAGACACCAATAGGAAGAGAACACAAGCATACAGGTTCAGGTTGGCATTTAAGCCAAATTCTAAAGAAAAGGTGAAGAGAATGGAATATAGACAGAGGATCAGCCAAGATGTAACAAAGTAAAGAATATAATTTTGGGTTCCAGATCATAGGCTATCTACCTTCCTTTATGGTTTTTGTATAACTTTCTTGTTAAAATAACTTCTCAGAGGGTGGTAGACAGGTTGTCGATATGCATGGTTGCTATTAGGGCTTAGGATGCTTGGGGAAGCTTCTACAACTATGTGCTCCCCCAGTAATCCCTTGTTATCCACAGGGGATTGGTTCTAGGACCCTTGAGGATACCAAGATCCATAGATGTTCAATCCCTTATATAAAACTAGAGGTCCGGTGCATGAGGGACAGGGGAAATGGGAGGGTGAGGAGGGTTCCCTCAGCCCAGCCTGCACCCTCTCACAATCCATGACAATCCTCTTGCAACCTGGGACCGCTAGCTGCTAACTGCTCACCTGCCTGCCTGCCCAATCGCCCCTAACCACTCTGCCTGCCTGCCTCATCACCCCTAACCACTCACCTGCCTGCCTGATCTCCTTTAACTACTCGCATGCCTGCCTGATTGCCCCTAAACACTCTGCCTGCTTGATAGTCTCTAAATGCTTAGCCTGCCTGCCTGATCTCCCCTAATTACCTCTGTCTGCCTGCCCAGTCACTCCTAACCTCTTGCCTACTTGCCCCTAACCGCCTCTGCCTCAGTCCCTGTGGCTTCATTAGAATGTCGTTTAGCTGTCTAGTTTAATTAACATATTATGCTTTTATTATTATAGATGGTCTAAGGGCAATGTATACAGCCAGCCCTTCACAACTGCAGACTTTCCACTGTGGACAGAAAATACTGTTTCCAGTATGGGTCTTACAGATTTAGTGACATTTTCCTAGAGTACCTATAATAACTGCTTTGCTGATCACTCTATCTACCCTTCCATCTTTTCTTTAATCCTGATTACATTCACTATATCTTATACCTCTTTCTCAACAATTAATGAATCTTCTTACCTATCTATGTATCTTATAAAGTATTTTACTTTTATCTTAATTCTCACACTGTATTTTTACTTACATATGAACTGCATTATATAAACCAATAAATCCAGATGTTGCATTTTAATGAGGGGAAAACATTTTGTACATTAAACTGATGACATATAAATACTGACTTAAGAAGATGAATATGTGTATCAGTATAGAATATAAAACAAGAATGAATTTTAAACATAATGTGTACATTATTTTCACATTATTTTCAGAGGGACAGTCATCTTACTTAGTTCCCCTCTGCTACTTTGTTTCCAAACTGTCTAGTCATCTCATGGGTCCCTTTCTGAAAAATATTTTTAAAAACTCTATCTTTCACTACCTTACTGTCTTCCACAGTACTACAGTATCTGCAGAAATATTTAAGTGTATGTACTAAAATTTCAAGAACATACTGAATCAATGAAATAATGGAGATTTCTTTTTGGTGAAGGGAGCACCAAGAACTCTCAGAGACAAATAAGCACATTTACAAATATTGCAAAAATAAAAACTTGTATCAAATACCCTAATTTCAAAGAATATTTAAAGTGAAACAATTTGGGGTATTATTATTTATAAGAAGGAAATTGAACAGGAAAAGGTCTTACGATGATGATTCCAGAATGATGCTGTTAGCTTGTGTTGAAGATGGAGATCTGTGATTTCCAAATACTTCGCTTGGGGAAATGTGAACCACATGGTCTACCAAATGACCAACTGAAGATGGTCGTAACCGGGGTCCCTCTTGTGTGAATGCAGAATTTCGACTACACAAAGAGGAAGAAAATTGAGTAAAATGTGCTTTAATTCAATTTTTAAAAATGTTATTTATATGATTCCTTCAAAAAGTGGGTGTGTACTTTTAAGACTAACCACATCAACTACTCAAAGTCTCTTGACAAAAACAGTGTGACATAAACAGAAAGAACACAGAATAAGAAATAAAAATCTGAGCTATAGACAATCATCTACCACAAGGATTTTATTTATTTAGTCATCTATTATCTCTACCAACCTCAGTGTTTCTAGGTTTTAGTTACTACAACTTGGTGACTTAATGAGCACTCATAAAATAAAGAGATAGAATAAACGATTTAGAAATATCTTCTTGTCTGAATTATTTTTTCATTGTATATTGCATTGTGCGCTAACCACCCACAGTCTAATCATAATCTTCCATCACCATATACTTGGATCCCTTTTCCCTTTACTACATTCCCCCCTTCCCTCTGGTAACCATCATACTGTTGTTTGTGTCAATGCCTTTTAGTTTTATATCCCACATCTGAATGAAATCATATGGGTCTTAGCTTTCTCTGACTGACTGATTTCACTTAGCATATTCTTTTTGAATTCTTATGTTTTTATTTATGGGACTTTATTTACTTCCTATGATTAAATACTGAATTACATATTTCTATCCTCATACATGACATAGTCACATGAATTACTGTCACTATTATTAACTACGCTAGCTAACATTTGAGTACTTATTGCGTGCATTTTGTGCTAGGCATTATTCTAAGCATTTTACATACATCACCATTTAACTTTCATAACAATACTATAAGACTATTATTATAAATATAATTTTATAGATAAAGGAAATGGGACAAAGAGATTAATTAATTTGCTCAAAATAACCCCTATACTGTACTGTCTCTTTAAAATTTAGAAAAAAGCCAATCTTTTCAGATCATCCTAAAATTGTTTCATTAATTAGAGCTACTGCTAATTAATTCAATCATCTAGTTTAAATTTCTTGTTCCTGGTCACAAATGGATAAATGGCTGGCTCGAAAAGGGCCCAGAAAAAGAAATTTCTGGATATTCTTCTAACAAGTTAATTAGCTTTTGAATACAAACAATCTCTTTTAAAGAAAGATGATTTAGCAACCTGTAATAAGCAAGACAGAAACTTTTTAGTCTATTTTTTCTAGAAAAGAAAGATATCTAGGAATTAAGTATCATTCTGTGAACCCCAACTTTTGATGTATACTTTACTGGCAATATGGTAGAAGTGTATTCTTTGGTCCACAAACATCTATCAGTGACACAACTTTAATGTAGTGTACACCTATTGGACATTAATGTGTATGAGATACTTCTTCAAATATTGTATTTCATACCAAAATTCAAATATTTTGTACATCAACCTATGGGTTACCAAGGTCTGTCAATGTACTGACACACATCCGTTTATTAATATCTTAATTACATACACATATTATAATACATCTGTTAGCATTATAAAATGAAGATAACATCATGTTATTATTACTATCTACACCAAAATATACGGCATTTGTGAGAAATCCTAGAGTATAATAAACCGAAAGTGCTGAATAACACAGCTTCTTAGCGTAGCTATGGCCAAGTTTGCATGAACTGATGTTGGAAATCCTTCTTTCTAGACCATAGAAAATGGCAGAGCAGTGGCTGGGGTAGGAGCTTAAGTAAGAGAATCATAGTCACTTAGAATTTTCAGACAACATAGGCTCCTTCAGAAATTCTAATGGAGATCCACATTGAAAAGGATGATGTCAACAACAACCATATTCTCATATTTTAAGTCTAGTAGCAGATTTTGATTTATTGGTTAGGAACCCTTACTTTAAAAGTTGACTGTGTAAGAAAGTGAGCATTCTTGCTGAAGGCTCTACTACCTCACCTGATGGGAGGCTATTATTTCATGCCACTTACACAATGAGCTAGAGGCTCAGAGAAATGCTAAGAGGAAATAATGATCTGCAATAACAAAAGTCATATCTAACCAAAATTTAAATAAGAAATTTTACATATTTTGATCTTCAAGTAATGCACATATATAGTCAATAATTTAGAAATGAGAAAAATGAACACCTGATTTGAGTCTGCACTTACTGATTAGGCGTCCCAGGGGGAGTTCGTGATGGAAGGCTTTGTGTTTCCAACCTGTCATCAGATACTGAATTTCTGCTTACTACTTCCCAATCCATTAATTTTCGTGCCAAGGGTTTACTTGGGGATCTGCCAAAATAATATGTAACATTTTTAATTTTATGCACCAAACCATAAACCAAAACTCAGAATTTGTATTAACATATATTCTAGATGAGTAAATATGGTTTACTTTCAAGAAATTACTGTTGTCAGAGGCTATTTATCAAATACTTTCCTAAGAAAATAAATCTTCTTTATATTAAGGAAGAAAAAATAAGCCAGAAAAAGTAGGAGAGAGAATAGGGAAAAGGAGAAAAAGAAACAAGATTAAAAAGGATAAAAGGAAAAAGCAAGGGAAGAGATGGCTATCAAAAGTTTTTTCAAATATTATCAAAATTGTAGAGTCTCTGAAATCCTTGAATGTATTAAATAATTCCTGACATATTATCTCCTGAATGTCCTTAAATTCAAACCCTGATCCTCTGCCTCAGGAAGGACAAGGCTAAAATGATAGTTATGTATATTACATTTTATTTGTATTTTTTCCTTCTAATATGTAGTAGGCCAGTGGATAGTTTTCTTTTCTTTCTTTTTAAATTATAAAGGCAGGGTTTATTAAAACACATTATTTATTTATTTATGTCCTTATTAACTTATAAATTATTTACTGTTGAAAGCATTATATATGTCTCCTTCCCCTGCTCACTGAACTCTCCCCACCAGTGAGATTTTGTCTCATGGTGGGAAATAAAAGAATATGTTTTGTTACCTACTTATATATTTCAGCTATCATCTTTTCAGAAAAGATATCGATCTTTGCAGAGATTAAACACCCTCAGAATTTTATGTAAGTTAACTCAAGTCTTTTTTATATGCAAATTCAAATAGTGGCCAAAATTCATGGAAAATATATGACATCTATCTAAATTTTCGTTTTTTTGAGATGCAGAGTTAATATGGAGGTTAATATTATGAATTAAACTACATGTATAAAAAACACATAATAAATTATCTTATGAACTGATAATTTCATATTTGAGTAAGAAAGTCATTAGGGAAAAAAAAAGAAAGAAATTTATTGAAGAACACAGAGAAACAATAGACTAAAAACCATGTAACAATAACCAAGAGTACTCAATAAGATTTATGTACAAACCAGGAAGCATATTTGGACTTATATTTACTTTTTTAGTATTCTAATCTCTTCTCTATTTGCTTATTTTCTACAGTATTTTATTAGTCTTATTTTTTTAAAGTTACTATATTATTTGTCTTGTATTTTATTTCTACCTATTTTAAATCCCAGAAAATATTATTGGGTTGGCATTCTTTTATATATATTTACATCTTTCTTCCATTTCATTAGTCTTTATTTCCATGTTTCTCTCTTGAATTATTTTCTTTTGTAGAAAATATTTTCTTCTACAAAACAAACAAAAAAAGCAAAAACAAAAAAACAAAACAAAACACCACAACACACAACAACAACAAAAAACCATGATGGGTGGGGACCCTAAATCCTAATTTTGACCTTACAACTAATATCTACGTTATCAGTACAATGTATAATCTTAAGGTCCTTTACTACCTCCTGAATTTTATAATATACGAGTATCTAAGTTTTCTGTGCAATGTTTTAGTCTACCAACTTTACTAAAGCATGAGGAACTTAAATTACTTATGAATCCAAACCACACAAATGTATCATTTCATGTACTTATAGCTAAAGCCTTTTTAGTTTGGCCTAATGACATCTCCTTAATATAAGAACATTTAACATTTGCTAGGAGATGTAAATGTTATCAATTAAAAAAAAAAGGATGTTGATTCAGATTTCATTTTTCTTAAGTAAATTTGAAGTTTTTAAAGCATGAACTTTAGCATTTATGGCTCTCTTATGAATGCTAATTCTTAATGTTAAACTATTCTTTCTCATATATTAAACTACTAAATGTAAGCTGTAAGAAAATTTACTAACGATAGCTAGGAGATCAACTACTTTCATTTTCTAAGAGAGGAAAAAAAGTCATTTGAAAATGGAAAAAAATCCAGTTATACTCACCTAGTTTAAAGCCTCAGAACACTTGACTGTTGTTAATAAACTAAACATGGTTGTAAATGCTTTGCATTTAAAGCTAAATTTCAGATATTTTATTTTATTAACAGTTTTAACCTCAGAGACCCACCCACTCAGACTTGCTGTCTATGTTTCCTGTTGAGTGTGGAAATTTCAGAGAAAAAAATACCACACTTCATCAGTGTGTTTGCAATGTGGTAAATTCATATTCTGACCATGGCACCTCAATTTTCTATTGCATGAGAACATTCTTTTGCTTTCTTCTTAGATATTATATGACAATTAAAAAAGTATTAAAGCAATTCAAAGAGTTGATATATAAATAAAACACAGTTAACTTATTGCTGAAGAAAAACCAACCTTACATGAAAAGTCTAAGGAGAAATCTGTTCTATTTATATTGCCTACTCTAAAATTCTCTAATATTTTAAGAGAATGAGTGAATTTAATAATTACTAAAACCATTTGAATATTTTGGCACACGTGCATCAGGTCACCAAAACAAGTTTCTGATATATTATAAAAACCACCCCAGAATAGCTTAATCTTTCACTATTAACACCTTCAAAGAGGATTCATATAATTCTGACATGACAAGAGAAATAGGATGGCTAGTTGGGGTTTATGGTATTAGAATGGTAGCTTTACTATTCAGTGAATGATATATATCTGTCTTATAAAGTCACCTATTAAACAATTTCACATTTTAATAATGCATATACAAAATGAAGAACTAAGACTCAGGTGTAACTGCATATTTCTAGAAATCTGATATAATCAAAATATTAAAACATTAACTTATAAGAAAGTTATTTTCATGTGATATTAACATTAATATATAAATACAGCTATGACTTGGTACTCATATTAGAACATCACACTATAATAGAACTAGTTATCAATTTGTGTTCAACAGTTTTATAAATATCAAATGAATAAAGCTTAAGTTTCTTGTTAGGAAAATAATGTTAGTTTTTGTCATGATGCAGTTTTAACAGAAAAGAATCAGAAAAATATTTACTTTTATTTTACCAAGTTTGAAAGGAGTGTTACAAAAAGTTAAGAGCTAGAAGAAATACATCTTTAATTAAAACAACAAAATTGATAGGATGTGAACTCTTTCTCAAGAACAATTTCAAGGAAAACAATTTCAAATTAACATTTTACTGTGCAGGTCCATAGTAATGTCTAACTGGAAACAAGGTATCCAGGACTGTAAAAGGGAAGATTCTGAATAATTTCAGTAGTTACGTACACTAAGGTAGGCATCTCTGTGTTCTTATGGTCTTTTTTCTCCTTTCTAAAATGACCAAACTACTACTAATGTAACACCAATATTTAGTAGTATATTTAATAGAGAAACAATATTTTCCTCACAAATCTAAAAATAATAAATAATAAATCGACTTCTAAATTTTTTTGAACAAATGCTGAATTACACCATTCAAAGTGAAGAGTCCACTTGTCACAGTAAAATGGTATAGCTTTAACTAGCTAAATCCTTCCTATTTCAAGGCATTTTCATTGATGGCATTCCTGTGGGGTGGATTATTCACAGACCAACCAGGATAGGATGAGGGTAAGCAAGGAAGGAAGAAAACAAGTGCAGTAAATGTTATTGTTCAAACACATATAAGTCATGTATTAATTATATATATATATATATATATATATATTTGTTTTTGTTTCCAATATTTTTACACCAAGGAACTTATACTATTATTTTAAATTTATTTATTTATTTATTTATTTATTTATTTTTAAAGCTTTTGGCTCACTGAAGACTCAGTGAGGATTTCTTCTTTTTTTTTTCTTTTAAAAAATATATATTTTATTGATTTTTTACAGAGAGGAAGGAAGAGAGATAGAGAGCTAGAAACGTCGATGAGAGAGAAACATTGACCAGCTGCCTCCTGCACACCCCCTACCGGGGATGTGCCAGAACCAATGTACATGCCCTTGACCGGAACTGAACCTGGGACCTTTCAGTCCGCAGACCGACGCTCTACTGCTGAGCCAAACCGGTTTCGGCTTAAATTTATTTTTATAGCATTCAGGGCATAGTACTGGCAAAGCCTCAGATAGCCTTAGTAATTAATGACTTGGACTCTGGAGGCATGGAAGACCCAGGGTAAGGGGAAGAATCCTAAAGTTACATCTACAGTTTAGGATAAAAGGATTTAACTATTTAACAATTTACTGACATTATAAATGACTATAGATTTTTCAACATTAAAAAAATACCCAAGGATTAAAAATGGCAACAGAATAAATGGATGCTACATGGACATGCTCCCAGGAACAAACTGGGATTACAACTAAAATACAGAAAAACTTCCTGAATAATCAACAGAAAACTTGCAGGAGAGAACCCTGACACCTGAGGACCAAAAGTGGAGACCGCATAGCGAATGGTAGGAGGGGTGGAGGCAAAAGGGCTGGCTGGTGGCCCATAGACAACAAATGAAGGCCCTGTGAGATATTTCAGATGTGGGGCGTTGCCACTGAGAACTCTGGGATCTAATCCTGAAGCTGGGCATCTCAGCAGAGAGCACCAAAACTGAGGAGAATACCCACATTACATCAGGCTGTGAAAAGCAGCAGGGTGCTGTCTGCCAGAGTGTAACACCTGAAAACATGGATCATTCACAAACATAGACCAGATGTTAGGATACAAAACAAATCTCTACAAGTCCAAGAACATTGAAATCATATCAAGCATCTTCTCAGATCACAGTGACATGAAATTAGAAATAAACTACAGTAAAATACCCCAAAATATTCAAACACATGGAGGCTATATAGCATGTTATTAAACAATGAATGGGTTACAACGAGATCAAGAAAGAAATAAAAAAAACTTCCTAAAAACCAATGAAAATGAATACACAACAACCCCAAATCTCTGGGACATAGCAAAAGCCATCCCAAGAGGGAAGTTCATACACAGAACTAGAGGCATACCTCAAAAAACAGAAAAAAACAGCAATAAACTATTTAATCCTACAAC